GGTTTTAATAGTCATCAGACATGGAAAAGATACCTCTAAAATACTTTGATTAAAACAAGAGAAGAGCTTTATTGCTCATCTCCCTAAAGTATGATGATACTTGCTTTTCAACCCTATTCATCAATTAGATAAAGTTTCCAATAAAAATTGGCTAGTAAATTTTTATCTTCCCTAATGTCAACTACTTGTTGTACAAACTTTTAAAAAATTGATTCAAAGTCTCCTAGAACTGTTTATCATTTTTAAAAGGTTAAAAATTCTATTTCCAAGTATGTAAATATGAAAGTTTTTAAAGAGTCATATTCACTGCATTTTTGGCAATAAGAATCACATAACTATTGGAGATTTTCCAAAAGTCCATTTTCAAAATGCTCTACTCATAGCATGAAGCGTGGTTGCTTCCTCACTTATTAAAAGATCACATTTATCTGAATAATTTCACAATTTTTTGGCCAAATGATTTTGTTCATGGCTTTCTCTGGTAACGTAGTTAAAGAAGTACTTACATGAGGAGCTAGAAAATGACAGCTCTGCCCTTTCTTGTTGTTCAGTTAAATTTGTATTATTAGGGAAATCTTCTGACTCAACCTCTTTTTAAAAAATCTTTATAATTACTTATTCATTAAGGGAATTATTTGGTTAAACCTAGATTATATTTGTATAGGACTTCCTGTTCTAGGAATGGAGAACTAGGTAATTCATACCATCCCTCCTACTGAGGACAATCAGCAAAACAAAATATATTTTAGGAATCTACTACAACGTGCTAGACAGCAAACAAGATGGTGCAGAATTACTAGGTTAGGATATGGTAAAGGAGAGAGACCATGGGAGTTGAGTCTGGCAAGTAGGGAAGCTTTCTCCAAGGTATATGCCAATTTCTTTTTTCTTTTTTTTTTTTCCTTTCCTTCTGTTTTTTTTGTTTGTTTGTTTGTTTTTGTTTTTGTTTTTGAGACAGGTTCCTCACTGTTGCCCAGGCTAGAGTGCAGTGGCATGATCTCGGCTCACTGCAACCTCTGCCTTCTGGGTTCAAGTGATCCTCCTGCCTCAGCCTCCTGAGCAGCTGGGATTATAGTGCACCACCACACCCAGCTAATTTTTTTGTGTTTTTAGTAGTGACTGTTTCACCATGTTGGCCAGGCTGGTCTCGAACTCCTGACCTCAAGTGATCCACCCACCTCAGCCTCCCAAAGTGCTGGGATTACAGATGTAAGCCACTGCACCCAGCAGTATATGCCAATTTCTAAAAGCAGGACTGAGAGACCAAGTGGCTGAGCAGGAAGTTGGTTAAAAAGTGTCTCACAGAGCTAAGGCTAAATTTGGGGCCCAGCATCACCAAGCCAAGAGAACTCTGGTGAATCTCTGCATTTGAATGGGCCACTGAAGGACAGTACCCTAAAAACAATGATAAACCAAAAGAAGGCTCCAGAAACTCAGTTTTACTGTACCTGAAATTGAATTAAAGTGATCCCATAATGCTGAGGCCCCAAGTACCTAGCCGAAGTAAATATAAATTCACTTTGGAGAATGACAACGTTATTATAGAATTCTAATTATGACTACAAATAATGTTTTAAGTACAAATATCTGAATACAATGAAAGAAAAAAAAAACAGAAAAACAAGACCACACAAATGAAAGCCAAGAAAACAGATATACATTACAATTGCTCAGAAATTAGAGTTTTTAAACTTAAAAAAAGTGTATTGACTTTAAATAATACTATACTTAATGTGTTCAGAGAGACAAAAGTCAACCTTGACACTTTTGACAGAGAACTGAAAACTGTTTTTTAAAAGAGCCACTGAAAATGCTAGAATTTTTTTTAAAAATTAAAACACAACAGATTTCACAGTTAATTACAAATAGATGAAGAGAGAGTTCGTAGTATAGAAGAAAATATCCAGACTACAAAGCTAAAAGACAAAGCTAAAAAAAAAATTATAAGAAGGTTAGGAACCTAGTAAAGCACTTTCCAAACTTAAAAAAAATCCAAAATGTCATAAAATGATAGCTTTGTAAAATATAATTTAATTGAATTATTAGAACAATGAAATAATAAAAAGACAAACTGAATATATGATCAAAGCTTTACTGGATTCAAAAGACATAAATTTACTCTGCCAATTGGCTTCAGAATACTTAATCTCAATCTTGTACTTCTCTTTTTCCCAATCATGGCACTCATACAAAAGATCCATGAAAAGCCTTGATACGTATTTAATTGAAGTACTAAACGGGGACAAATAATGGAACAGAAACATCATTTAAAGAGTAATTAGCTGAGCCATTTCCAAAACTAATTAAATACATCAAATGATGGATTCAGGAAATCAAAAACTAGTTAAATAAGGGAAAACCTATGTGCACTTTATGTAAAACTGCTAAAAACAAAAGAATGAACAAAGAAAATATCTTCAACACAATCAGAGAAAAAAATTGCCATCAATGAACAATAATCAGATTTACAACTTACTCTTCAACAGCATCATTCCAAGCCAAAAGACAATGGAATCATAGCTCCAAAGTGCTGAAAAAAAATAATTGGCAACCTTGAATTCCGCTCCCAAGATATAGATATATGTAAAGAATGAAAATAAAAAGAGACATGTGCAGACAAACCAAAACTGGTAGAGTTCATTCCCAATAGACTTGAATTTATTTATCTACATATATATAAATCTGCCTTCAGACAAAGGGAAAAGATTCCAGGTAGAAGGTCAGACATGCAGAAAGGCATGAATATTGACTATATAAAACCAAGGTAGTATCTTATGGATTATTATATAGAAAATTATAGTACACTGAAAAAGCATTATGTCAGGAGAGAAATAGACTGAGAGTATTTTTACAGCACATACATTCCCCAGAAGAGAAAAAAAGAAACAAATAATATTTTATTTTTTTATCAGATAGACATATCGCAATATTTGGTGTAATCATCACAAGAATTTATAGGACTCAAATAACTTTACATAATTTTCAATCAATGCAAATGAAAGCAAGAAATGAAAAAAATGAACATAGAACAAGCAGGACAAATTGAAAAGCTCAGCAAAATGGTAGATTTAAACCCCAAAATATCAGAAATTAGATAACATAAGTATTTAAATTCCCTGATTAAAAGACAGATTGTTACCCTGAATAACACTGAATTTCATATGCTACTTACAAAACACAAGACTAAAATATCAGAATTCTCAAAGATTTAACAATAATGTCAAACTAGACACTAAGGTTAAAGCATTCCTAAAGACAAAGGAAAGTAATCTCATGATGATGAAAATTAGATCTGTCAAGAAGACATAACAATTCTAAATTTACATGTAACTAATAGCATAGACTCAAATTTTATTACTCTCTCTGATTTCTAATGGAATAACAAGACAAAAATCAGTTCATATTAACAAGAGTATACATTTGTAAACTTGACTTGGTCTTTATAGAATACTGCACCCAATATCTGCAGAATACACACTTAGTTCACACACAAAAATTACAAAATGCTGGGCATTAAGCAAGTCTCAACAAATTTCAAGAACTGAAGTCATAGAGTATGTCACATGACCAAAGGGGAATTAAGCTAGAAGTCAGTAACAAGGCGATATTCACAAAGTAGCCATATGTTTGGAAACTTCTAACTATGCTTCTAACTAAACCTATAGATTCAGAGAGGAAAAAAACAGTAGGAAGTTAGAAAATATTTTGAACAGAATAATTATGAAAATACAACAAATCAAGTTTTGTTTGATGCAGCTAAAGCTGTGCTGAAAGAAAATCTATGGCCTTGAACATCTCTAATTTGAGAGACAGTATCTTAAAAAAACTATGGAAAATATATATTATATATAATACTTATTATATTATACTTATTAAAGTAGGTGCTCATTCTCATTAATAATTAGGTAAATGCAATTAGTATCTCAATAATATTTTATTACAAACTCACCAGAATGGCTAAAATTCAAAAGACTGGCAATACCAAATGTTGACAAAGATAATTACTGCCTATGCTGCTGGTGGAAATGTAAGTTGATACAATTACTTTAGAAGATTGTTTGGTGATATCTACTAAGCAGAAATGTGTGCGTGTGTGTGTGTGTATGTGTGTGCATGCACACATGCGCGCTTTTTCTGTCAAAGGTCCTGTGCCCCGTGCACCTCCAGGCTCACAAGGCAGAGATGTAAGTGCCTTGTGAGCCTCTAGGTGCATGGGGCAGACAGGACCTTTGATAGAAAAAGCGAAGGAATTCTATTACAAGGCAATCTTTGTAGTGCTTTCCCTTTTCCACTGGAGACTTTGAATAGAAAAACATTGGGACTGAGTGTTTAAGAGGTGATCATCTGGGAGCCTTCAAGGTTTCGGTAAATGTCTTAGTCCATTCCTGTGGCTATTAAAATATTTTAGACTTTGTCACTTAATAAACAACAGAAATTTATTTCTGACAGTTCTGGAGGCTGAGAAGTCCAAGGTCAAGGTGCCAGAAGGTGTTTGGTGAGGGCTACTTCCTTATAGACAGGGCTATCTCACTGTGCCCTCACATGGTAAAAAGGAGCTGGCTAGCTCTCTGCAGTCTCTCCTGTTTGACGGGGCACTAATCCCAGTCATGATGGCTGCACTCTCACGATCAGTCACATCTGAAAAGGTCCCACCTCCTAATATATCAACGTGGGGGTTCAGATTTCAACACATGAATTTGGAGGGAACACATTCAGACCATAGCAGTTGGTCCTTTGAATACTGGACCTAAAATCAGGTATTCTGGCCGGGCATGCGGTGGCTGATGCCTGTAATCCCAGCACTTTGAGAGGCTGAGGCAGGTGGATCCTGAGGTCAGGAGATTGAGATCATCCTGGCCAACATGGTGAAACCCCATCTTTACTAAAATACACACAAAAAAATACTGAGGTGTGGTGGTGCGTGCCTGTAGTTCCAGCTACCCAGGAGGCTGAGGCAGGGGAATTGCTTGAACCCAGGAGGCAGAGGTTGCAGTGAGCCAAGATCGTGCCACTGCACTCTAGCCTTGATGACAGAGCAAGACTCTGTCTCAAAAAAACAAAAAAATCAGGTACTCTGAATATTGGCTCTACATTCAATGTCCTGCTTTTTTCTTTTTTCTTTTCTAGTTGTGTGAATTTTGACAAATTACTTAACTTCCCCCGGGGCTCATTTACGAAAGGAAACAATGTAAGCCTGACATTAGATCATGAAGGGGTCTAATTAGTGCATATATTAAGACACTTTCCCCTTCTCCCAAAGCAGGTATAGAGAAAAGAAGGTAGCATTTACCTCAAAGAGGGTTAGGCAAGAGAGATTCAAGGGATCTTTGAAGTTGCAACAGATATGAAAGTAGAAAAGATGTCTAGGGTACAAGAGGAGATGGGTCCCAAAAGCAGGAGACGGATGGAAGGGAAGGTTGACTGGGCAGTCCTCTGAGCTGCCAAATGAAGATTCTTTACATTATCCCTGACCAGCCATTGTGGTCAAGTGGCTCTAGAAATGAGGAATGGGAATGTGCCAGGACAGAAAACCAGACAAGGCATTACATACCTCCTCCTGTGTGCACACACACCAGTAAGAGTGGGTTCTTCACTTCATCTGGACTCCCATGGCATCCTGTATATTCCTCTATTTTAGCGTGTGTCAGTGCCAGGCAGTCAATACTCAATGGCACTTCTGTCCACCTCCCACTACACTATGAATTTCTGAAAAAAAAGGAAACAGTGTTTTATTCATCGTTGAGCCCTAGCACCTAGCAGAGTGAGTAGCATAAGAGTCTCTCAATAAATGTTGACCTAATAAATCGATGAACAAAACAATGAATGACATCATTCTGCTTACAGAAATCAGAGCCCTGGACTGCACAGGCACCATGAAAATCCTGCCAAATGGAGCGCCCTGAACCTCCCTTCCACAGTTCTCACCCACTCGACCCATAACGTCTCTTCCAACTGACTTGCTCTTACTTTGCCTCCCCCAGATTTCTTCCCAGACTTTCAGGGAGAAGCCCAGAGCCCGAGGGTACCCTCCTTGGCTTCTCTTACTTCATCCAAAATATTCAACCATCGGTTGACTGGTGTTAATTTGAATGTTGCTTCTGTTTTCTTCTCCAAATCTAGGTGAAACTAGATTTTTTTTTTTTTTTTGAGACGGCGTCTTGCTCTGTCACCCAGGCTAGAGTGCAGTGGTATGATCACAGCTCACTGCAGCCTTGACCTCCCAGGCCCAAACAATCCTCCCATCTCAGCCTCCAGAGTAGTTGAGACCACAGGCATGTGCCAACATACTCTGCTAATTTTTGTAGAAACGGGGTTTCACCATGTTGCCCAGGCTGGTCTTGCGCTCCTGGGCTCCGGTAGATCCACCCCCCTTAGCTCCCAAAGTGCAGGGATTACAGATGTGAGCCACAGCACCCCACCTACAACTAGATTCTTGATAGTGACTGACGAAATGATGCCCTGCTCAGGCTCTGCCCCAGCCTTCATTCATTGCTTCCAGATCAATAACTGGGGTTAGCTCTGAGGGTAGTCCAGGTAGAGAAATACAGACCTGGATACAGAAGAAAACATCTTATGTTCAGAAAGAGCTGCAGGGCTTGGCTTGGTATCAGCATGAACTAGGGGGATGCAGAGGGGACGGTTTGGAAGGATGATAAACAGGAGAGGGAGGGACCACTGACTCAGGAACTGTCTTGGAGGTACTATTAATTTGTTTCTGAATGGTTCCTTGAGGCTTGGACATGACAATGCCTTACATTAAATTACAGGAAGAGGCTGCAGTGCCTTGGCAGAGGAAGGGGTCAGAATGCTCAGGGAGATAGGGCTGTTGGAACAAACTTATTAGGTGATACCTAGACTCCCTGGGAGGGTTCAAGGACATTCCCTTCAAATATGTCAGTGAGGGGCAACCACATTTATCGGTGTGGGAATGACAACATCTTTGGGAAGCTTAGTAATGATTGTCCACTCTAGGCCAGGGTAAAAATAGGTGATTCTGCCATGTACCTGGGCTACCTAGTGTAAACGAAGATGCTAGGATTTCGAAAAAACAAAGACCCGGTGTCTGCTCTTAACCATCAGAGTCAAGATGAATATAAATCATAACAGCCAGTAAGGCCAGAGTGCTTGAGTCCATAGAGTATTTGATGATGGCTAATAGACCATGATGTTCCTACGAGTGAGCTAGTTGAGCAGCTAATGAGGGTACTGCATGACTTGTAGAACAATTTAAAATATCAAGAGCTGTCAAGAAAGTTGATGTACCCACAGTTTCCAGACCTGAGCCAGTTCTCAGACCCCACAGGCTGCATCCTCTTGTGAAAGGATCCTGCAATGCCTCCCACGCTAGTGAAGTGTTTAGGGGTTCAGTGGTCTAAGGCATGTTGGGACATGCCCTGTAAGATAAAGAACAAGTCATTACACCCTGTACTTACTAGGACTCAGAAGGAGATACAGTGCTTAGTGAGCCTCTTTGGATTTTGGAGAATGATAAGTTGTATTGAGGAATACTTCTCCCACTAATGTGTTGAGTGACTTAAGAGGCTGTCAGTTTTGCGTGGGGCCCAGAACAAGGAGAGCTCTGGAGCAGATCCAAGCTGCCATGCCAGGTGCCCTTAGCTCATATGATCTGCCGATCCAATGATACTAGAGGATCTGTGACAGATAGGGATGCTGTGTATAGTGTTTAGCAAGCCCCATCATAGAGTCATAGGCAAGGCTCCTAGGGTTCTTCTGGAGCTACCTGCTTCAAAATAGAAGAACCCACTGTTTGAAAACCAGCTCCCAGTATTGCTATTGAGCCATTTAAGAGACTGGGCATTTCTCCCTCCTGCAAACACCTCCATTTATTTCTTCCCTTTATATAAAATTCCTTAAAAGAATTTCCATATTCACTATCTCCACCTGTTCTTTTTCCATTCTGTTTTGAAACGACTTCGTCATTTATCCTCACAATTCCACTAGTACCACTGTTACAAATTCACCAGTGACTTCCATGTTGTACATGCAGTGACCAATTTGAAGTCTTCTTCCTACTTGATCTGTCAGCAGCATCTGAGCTAATTGGACACTCCCTCATTGAAACAGCTTCTCCCCATGTTCCCCAAGACATCACTCTCTCTCAGTCCTCTTCCTGTCTCACTGGTTATCCTCATCCCTGTGGCTGGTTTCCTCTAATACCCCAAACCACCCAAGGCCAGTCACTGATTTTTTTTTCTTTTTTTTTTTTTGCTTTTTCTCTCTACCTATACTCTCTCTTCTGAGGTGATTCTGTCCCATCCATAGCTTTAATTTTTCATGGACTGCCCACTTCCAAGTTTATATCTACGGCCCCCCATCTTCTCTCCTGAACTCCAGATTCCTGTATCCAACAGCCCATTAGACATCTCCCCTCTGTGAGGCATCTCAGACTTAACAATTCCAAAACCAAATCCTGAATCTCCTACCTCCCAACCTGTTCCCCCACCAGCCTTCCCCATCTTAGTAAACGACAGCTTCATCCCTCTGGCTGTTCAGACTGAAGAAGTTGACTTCTTTCCTTCCAATCCCATCCATCAGAAAATCTTGCCAGCTCTTCCTTCAAAATATTTAGAATCTGGTAAATCCTTAGTCTAAGGCACCATCATCTCTTGCTTAGATTATTGTATCCTGTTTCCATGCTTCCAGCCCTGCCCTCTTCAATTTGTTTAAAACAGCAGCCAGCATAATCCTGTCTTGCTTCTGAAAACCCTCCACAGGCTCCCCATCTCATCAAGAGAAATATCCAAGTCCTCAGAGTGACCCCTGAGGCCCACAGAGCCTACACAGCCTCTGCCTCTGATTCCCCTCTGATCTCACCTCCTGCCATGTTCCCTCCACCCTTTCCAGAACACTTCCTCTGCTTCAGACCTGGCTCCCTCACTTCGGCTCCAGTTTCCCTTCCCCAGAGATACTACACTCTTCTATCTCTTATATACTCTTCTTCTTCTTTTTCTTTTTTTTTTTTTTGTAGCATGTCTTGCCACCTAACATATTATATGCCAGTTTCATTGTTTGCCTCCCCCTAGCCCGGTAGATTAAGCTCTGGAGACAGAAAGAGCTGATTTGTTCTGTATTTGTCTATGGCCCCAGGACTTAACACAGTGGCTGGAAGAAGAGATATGCCAAATTGGTAATGGAGAGTGCACGCGTGAATGTCAGATCCTTTGCTAAGCTGAAGGCAGAGGAGGGGAAATGCAGATCAAAAATGATCAAGACCCAGCCCCAACCTTTAGGACCTCCCATCTTGGTACCCTTCCCCAGAGCACAGGGTGTGGTCTTTCATAAGGCCACAACACACAGTTACAACCAGAAAAGTGTGGTCAAGCCTACCGAGTAAGTGATTGTTTTGCTTTTGCCCCCTTTCAACTTAGGATGTTACTTTATGTCAGAGACTTGCCAGAGACCCGTTTGCTACAGCAAATTCAGATGTTAACACCCAAAACCACATATATTTTCTGCTCTCCTGTGAATGTAAGGATTTCATGTGGCTAGCCTGGTCTTTAAAGATAGACCAGGTCAAGAGTTTCCTAGGTGTCTGAGTGACACCACCCACGCCTCTCCAGCCAATCCCCTCAAAAGTCTCCTGACCCTGCAAAGGCAGATCCTGAAATCACACAATTTACAATTCACTGACCTCTGAAAGAGCAAGTCACCTCCAAGGAGGGCTCTGGACCAAAGCATTCCTGAGCCAGATTCCTTGTTGACACTGGTCTCTGGTTACATCCCAGGCATAAAAAGGCAGGAAATTCTTCAAAGCTAGGGAGTGCTTCCCCACCTTTGTCCCCAGCAGAACTCCTTCCCCTACTCCACCCTCCACAGAGGGACTCACTGTAAGTTCAACAGCATAAATGCTGCAAGGGGAGGCATTTTGAGGTTACACACTAGATATACTATATATAGCTAAAGTAACTACAGGTCTTGTCTCGTGTTATTCGCCTTGGCAAGGGTTGAAAGCCTTAAACAATTCCTCCCAAGCATGCCCTGTTGTGAGTCCCTTTTCCTGTCCAAAACCCTTCCCTGACCCAGACCCTGGGAGTCACCTTTCTTCCTCCGGCCACTCCCCACTCATCCTCTTTCAGCCTCCTGACAAAGCAGGGACTTTCCCACATGAGTCTAGGTCTGCCCTGGAGTAGCAGAACCACGCCACGGCCCTGGAGTTGTGGGACCACGCTACGGCCAAATGAGGCATCTGCTCTGACCCTTGGCAGTTTCCTGAACTGTGAGTGTCCTGTTCTCCCAGGCCGGGGTCAGAGGGAACAAATGCAAGACCCAGATGAAGCACCTCCCTGACTACATGCCAACAGCCAATTCCACTCCTCCATCCTGACACCTGCTCTGTTAGCCTTGCCACCCTCTCAACACAACCTTCTGAAAGGGGAAAAGTTCCCTCATCCCCCTCAAAGGGCGTGCGATGGCAGTATGGCCCACTTCTTTGCTGCCTGCTGCTCAAACCCCTAGTGGGAGTGGGCAGATGGACAGGTCATGGGAAACGTGAGCTCCAACCCCATGGCAGCATCTGGGGCTGAGTGTGTACAGCTCCTGAGGCCCCAGTGGGTGTGTGTTACAGTGCACTCTTTCAGCTTTACCTCTCCAGGCAGCTTGTGCTAATCAGCTCAGTTAGACCCTCTGCCTTATCACAAGGACAGAGGGCTTTCTGTATCCCAGGTTCTTGCCCTGCTACATCGGAAAAATCGGATCCTGTGTGGGCTTAGAGAATGAGTGCAAGGTTTTATTGAATGGTGGAGGTAGCTCTCAGCAGATAGATGGGGAGTGAGAAGGGGGATGGAGTGGGAAGGTGGTCTTCCCCTGGAGTCGGGCCGGTCAGCAGCTGGGCTCTCCTCCAACCACCCTCTGGGTCGTTCTGCTGTTGATGGCCTGTTGGCATCTGCGTGTTCTTCTGCCTGTGTGTTCCTGTCGATGTCCAGCCACGGGTGTGTGTTTCTGCCGATGTGTTCCTTTTGACATCCAGCTGTTTGTGTATGTGCCTGCTAAGGTCTTGGGGTGTTTATAGGCACAGGATCGGGGAGTGACAGGCCAGGGTGGTCTTGGAAAATGCAACATTTGGGAGACAAAACAGGAGTGCCTGTCCTCACCTAGGTCCGTGGGCACAGGCCCAAGGGTGGAGCCCTTGCCAGGAACCCTACCTTTCTCTACCCAGCACTTCCCTGCACCCCTCCCATATCACTTCCACACAGCCCTGGACCTGGGCTAAGACGTAGCAGTATTTGCCATTCCCAGTTGGCACTGTGGGGTTCATCATCTACACCAACTTTATCATTTTCTCAGAGGAGAAGACCAAGGCGCAGAAAGTGGAAGCCATGTGTTCAAGGTCAAAGAACCTGTTAGGGTCAGAGCTGGGGCAGGAATCCCTGACTAACAGACCCCCACCAGGCTCCTCTGTGGCACCAAACTCTTCACTTATGTTATTTGGAGTTTTTCCATTCCTGGTTCTTGCTCTTCTTGTACCACATTTTGAATCTTCCTTAGGGAGTTATTGCTTCCAGAGTTTCCATCTGGGCCCAACCAGGAGCAGCTCAACAGCTTCCCCCTGTTAGAATTCAGCCCCCATCCCTGTTCCCCTGGTATCCCTCAGCCCATGTGCTGGGTTCAGCCTCCTCCATTGCTCCCTGCTTGCCTTCCTACACATCCTAATGTGAAGAACTTTCAGTCCTTACAGCACATCTATGTACAGTACCTCACTGATGAGGGCAAAAAAGCTCATGAAGTCATCCAGGGGGTGGATTATTTTCTTCATTTTTACAGATACAGAGATTGAGATGCCAGGTGAGAGTGAATAAGTGGTGGGGCCCAGGCTGGGGTCTTCATGCCCCTCAGGACACTTTCAAAGATCTTTTATTCTCAGTGTCCTCCCTTCTGTGGAGTGGCCCCCAGGACACCAGCATCACCCAACTTCTTCCTCTACACATTCATTTCCTAGAGACCATTATTGAATGTCAGTTTCCAAGTTTCCAAACGTATACATTTATAATACTTTTTCCCAGACATCTCTATGCTCTCCCAGCACCTCAGGCACCGTAAGACCTCTCTGGGTATGCCTGCCTCCCTCACTGGGGTATGCTGTCAGAGTTTAAGGGTTAAGATTCTGAAATCAGGCCAGGCCACGTGACTCACGCTTGTAATCCAAGCACTTTGGGAGGCCAAGGCGGGTGGATCACTTGAGGTCAGGAATTCGAGACCAGCCTGGCCATCATGGTGAAACTCTGTCTCTACTAAAAATACAAAAATTAACCAGGTGTCATGGCTCATAGCTATAATCCCACCTACTTAGGAGGCTGAGGCAGGAGAATTGTTTGAACCCAGGAGGTGGAGGTGGCAGTGAGCCAAAACTGTGCCACTGCACCCCACCCTGGGCAACAGAGGCTGGGATGACTCCATCTCAAAAAAAAAAAAAAACAGATTCTCAAATCAGACAGACCCATATGCTATCTCTGCCTCTTACCAGCAGTGTGACCTTGGACAAGTTATTCCACCTCTGAGAACCTCAGTCTCTTCATTTGAAAATTGAATATTACTATCTATCTCTTCAGGCCATTGAGAGGATTAAATAAGAAGAGAGTAGCACATAAGTTCCACTGTACATAAGTGCCTACTTAAATATTCGCTGTCATCATCAACATCATCAATATCTCTTGCCTTCTAACTGTGCCCCCATCCCCAAGCATGCCATCCCACACACACAACTAATTTCCCAGGCCACCTACAAGTTACTTTTCACACATATGCCTAGAAGAAAAATTAAGGACATTTTAGGAAAAATGTTACTCCCATATATAAATAAGCAAAAGAATGTTTTATATCACTAAAGTCTCACTTACACCCTCCCATCCCTCACTGACCCCAACTCCAAAAATCCCAGTTGCAAATTCTGATCAGGTTTGTACTTCCCAAGTAAAAATTCAACAATCTCCCACCTAGAAAGCAGGCAAGGCTCTAGGTTTATCAGGCTCCTTAATAGAGTCCAAACAGAGCAGATCCTTTCTGCAAACAGGTTAAGAGACCGGACTCTGAGATTCAAATCCTGATTCTACCACTTAGTAGCTGTGAAACTGAGGATAAGTAGCACAGCCTTGCTCTGCCTCGATTTTCTCTGAATTAAAATGGGGACAAAATCGGCCCCAAAGGTTTTTTGTGTGTGTGAGAACTAAATGAGATCATCCATGTAAAATAGCAGGGCAGCTGCCTGTAATAAACTCTCAACAAGGGCTAGGCACTCGTATTATTATTAGTTTTCATATGCTTTTTGCCTTTGCCCAAGCTAGTTCCACAGGATCCCACCACCAGCACTTCCTCCTCGCTTCCTGTTTATCTAGTTATTTGCAAGACACCACCTCAATGGAGCCCTTCTGGATTGGCTGCTCTGAATGTGGCAGGTACACACCCCTTCTACAGCCCTTTCCACTCTGGGCTATCTGCATTTGTTTGTTTGGAGTCCTCCTTTACTCATTTACAAGCAACTCAAAGACCTGTCTCAAACCACCGTAAAGGAGAAGAGGGAACAAGAGGAGGGTGAAAAGAAATTCGGATGCCAGTGCTGAAAACTCCCTAGACCTTAACTCGAGCCTCAGCGTGACCAAGAAGCATCATATTGACCCATCCATCCTCAGTACTATCTTTCCAAGAATTATTTTAGAATATTTAAGAACCCCTACTGACATATGTCTGCCTCCAGCTCCACCCCTCAATCAAGAATCCGTTTCAAGGAGGGTGTGGTTTGGCCACATCTTTTTCGGACATTCTCTTTTGAAGCATTTTTAAAATAAATTAAATTGTGGCTGTGTGCAGCAGCTCATGCCTGTAATCCACACACTCTGGGAAGCTGAGGCCAGAGGATTGCTTGAGCTCAGGAGTTTGAGACCAGCCTGGGCAACATAGGGAGATGCTGATTCTACAAAAAGTTTTAAAACTTAGCCAGGTATGGTGGTGTGCACCTGTAGTCCCAACTACTATGGGGGCTGGGTATGGGGTCCTGAGGTGTAAGGATCACTTGAGCCCAGAGGTCAAGGCTGCAATGAGCCATGCTCATGCCGCTGTACTCCCGCCTCGGCAACAGAACAAAGCCCCACCTCAAAAAAAAAATAAAAATCAAACTGTTAACTCCTATGAATTTGTTTATCTGCTCTATTCTGCTTTAGCCTGGTCTCTCAATGAGCCACAGTCGCCTTAGAAGAACTTACCGTCCAGGCAGAAGAACCACAAAAGCTAAGTCTAAGGACAGCCATGTAAACACAAACCTGCATCTAACAGCAACAGGCTTATAAAGCACAGTCACACAACACAAAGTCTTGGCCCCAAAGACCAGGAAATTTTATTTGCCATTAACCGTGCTCTTTCCAGGAATCAAATGCCTCATGGCAAAGGAGAGAGAAGTTGTTTTCCCACACCACCTCCTCCTCCCCCTGTCATTCCCACCAAATTTGTACTTTCTCCCTGTCTATTACCAATGGGGCCATAGTTCACATAAACAACTCAAGGCAAAGATGAGGGAAATGCAGTTTCTCCTGGAATTGATACTTCTGCATTTTACCAAACAATAAATATATGTCATTTCCTCTTTTGTTTGTCATGGCACTAAAAAGGGAGGAAAAATCTCAATTCTGTTAGTTTCTATCTGGAATACAAACAACAGGCACCAGGCTTCCCATCTCACAATGAGTGCCTTGGAGAGATGGTGGTGTGCCAGGGGTGGGGGAAGAGCTGTTTTTAAAGAACCCAAACAAAAATGGCAGGAACTGCAAAACACAAATGTTTGCAGCATCTAAACTGGCGGAGCAACTGTGGGGTAGAAACTTACAGTCTGCACTTACAAGTACCTGAGTGGCCCAGTACAGAGCTCTCTGAGCTGAATCTGTGAACTGCAGGTGCAGCTTACAGATGGAGGGTTCGGGTGTGGGAACGTGCCAAGGACGTAACAACACTCAGTTGAAGAGAACCAAGTTTACCGTCACAGCCGGAACCTGAATACAGGAGGTGACAAATTCCATAGGATTTAGGCATAAAAGAAGCATTGTCATGTTTTTCCATATGAGT